CAGTAGATGTTTCTTTACATACTCATAGTCACTCTTTGTACTCTGTTAGCTTCTGTTCTTGAAGCTCCTTTTGTAGTTTGGATGTTAAGTAAATTAAAATAAGTTGACGATTACTGCCAAAAGCTGACTGGAATACAAAAATGTTAAGAGTTTAGTTCAATAAAACCATACACCAAAGAGAAAACAGTAAAAACTTGGTGATTTCTAGCAATATTCTTAATCTTTAAAATTTTATTATGTTAAGATCAAGTATTAGAAACCTCGGACAGGAATTGAGTGTTTGGTGGTCGCTCCCATGTAGAAGCCGTGTGCCAACGAACGTGCTGGTCAATCAGGACGACCAGCTCCTGCGCAGTAATTGAGGCTATAGACTCCGCATATATACATGAACGATTAGGAAGATAACACAGTTCCAGAAATACAAATGATTTACCTTGCAAATGTTGTGCTGTTACTCAACAGAATTGTGAGTTAAGAGTTGATGAACTTTTGACTTCAAATATACTCCAACAACTGAAGCGATAATTAAAACTCTGGATCTGTTGTTTAAGGTTCGGGCCTTTGATGAGGATGCTAAGTTAACAAAAGTGGGTGGAAAAATGGCTTACTTTCCTTTGGTTCCATGCTGTGTAAGTTGATTGTTGCCTCTGAAAAGTCGAACTGCTCTGCGGAGATAATAACAATTGCTCCATTTCTTTTTGTAGGTAATTAACTGTTGTATCATCGAAAGGACTGACAACTTGTCACGACCCCAAACCTGGTCGTGATGGCGCCCAACAGTATTGCTAGGCAAGCCTGACCACAATCGTTCCCAAATCAACCCTAAACCTCAAACCGACAATCTAAAGAGATTATAATAGTTTTAGAATAATAATCCAATATTTATAATAGAATAATACTGAGAAAAATACGAAGTCTGATAAAACGCTCCCAAAGATCTAGGGTCACGAGTTTAGAGCCTCTAAAACAATCTGAATAACAATATCTGAACGAAAATACTCAAGTCCGGAAATGTATATATAAATAAAACTGAAATAGGAAGAGTAGTCAGGTCCTGCGAACGTCAAGCAGCTACCTCAACAACTCTGATAAGCTCTGGGAATCAAAGACTGCTCAGCTAAGCCTCCGATGTACCTGAATCTGCACACAAGGTGCAGGGATTAGGGTGAATACTACCGACTCAGTGAGTAATAAGCATATAAAATGTCTGAAGATAAGAAATCCACAAAATACCACAAAGCAAAGCTAAAACTAACAGTCCTACACCTTACTACGAACCAACAGCAAAACAACTTCAAATATAACAGTCAAGTAAAATGTAAGGATGCAATGCAATGCACATGAACACGCTGTGGCGTACAGCCCGATCCATTTAACGTCGAAGGCGCTTACTGTGGGTGTGTACAGACTTCGGAGGGGCTCCTTCAGCCCAAGCGCAATGTAATCATACCATTCGCTGCGGCGTGCAGCCCGATCCACACTCAGTCCATAATATGCATATGAGTCACGTAACAGATTCACTTAATTTTCCAATTTCCAATTTATTAAGAAGAATATACTTTAGATATTTGACTTCAGGAAAAGTGACTTAGCATTTCATAACAGTGATTACACACAGGACTGAGATCAATGATTATACAAAGCATGCTATCACAATGACATTCAACCTCTAAGGATGCTACAGATCGGCACAAGGCCCCAAACACGGCAATAAGCCAAGATATATTCAATACAGGGTGCGTATCAGTCGCCAATATAGAAACATTCTTGTTCGGGATGGACTAAGTCTCAATCCGCAGTCATAACTAATCCCGCACCTGCCATGGGGTGCGAGTCACGCCCTACAATAGCGTCACAATGTGATAAGCCGGGGTTTCAAACCCTCAGGCCATCATATACACCAACTACTCACCTCTCACCGGCCGTAGAATGGTCCGCAATGCCTTTTCCTTTCGTATCGACCTCCTCGCGCGTCGAATCTAGTCAAAATCACAACGAATACATAAATATGGGTTAAAGAAACATAATCCAATCAAAAATACTCGAAAAGTACTAAATTCACGAAGTTGGTAAAACTCGAGCCCCGGGCCCACTTCGCGAAAAATTCCAAAAATCACACCAACAGATTCCTCGTCTCGCCACGAGTCCGTGCATATAAAGTTTACCAAAATCGAAGCTCGTTTGACCCTCCAAATTCCATTTTTACATCACAGCTTTCCAAGCCCTAGCTTGACCCGTTTTTGATGAATTTTCTACAATTTACATGTAATTTCTACCATAAATTCGAATATTTAGGCCAAGGAACTTACCTCCAAGTGATTCTCAGTCAAAACCCTCGAATTTCCTTGTTCAAAGCTCTTAAGAACGTCAACAATGGTGGAAAAATATGAAAGGGTCACTTATGCGGGACCGCTTCTGCGGCCACATTTCCGCTTTTGCGATCTTCACTTAGAAGCCCGGACTTCGCTTACGCGACGCGAAGTCCGCTTCTGCGGTTCCCTCAAAACCGCTTCTGCGGTACAGTGTCCGCTTATGCGGACCCGCTGGTGCGAGCCACCTTCCGCTTCTGCGGAATTTCCCTAGCCGGTCGACGACCGCTTCTGCGACCACGTACTCGCTTCTGCGATACCGCTTCTGCGGTCCATTTCCGCAGAAGCGGAAACACCAGATGACAGCAAGATCTGACCTGCAATACCCCTCAAAACTCTCGTTTAACCACCCGAATTCACCCCGAGGCCCCCGGGACCTCAACCAAAAACACCCATATATCCTAACACCTCATTCAAACTTGCTCGTAACATAAAAACACTATCATAAACACTAAAATCATTGAATTGCCACGGATTCAAGCCTAAGTTAAACTAAAACTTCCGAAACTTGCATTTGATCTAAAACCCGTCCTAAACACCACCGAATGATCTGAAACTTTGCACGCATATCCAAAATCACCTAACGGAGCTACTGCAACTCTCGGAATTCCATTCCGACCCTCGGATCAAAATCTCACCTACCATCCGGAATTCACCAAAATCCAACCTTAGCCAATTCGAGCCTAATTCTACACCGGACCTCCAAATTCAATTCCGATTGCGCTCCTAAGTCACAAATCATCCCCCGAAACTAGTCGAATCATCGGAAATCCATTCTGAGCCTTCTAACTCATAAGTCAACCTTCGGTTGACTTTTCCAAACTAACCTTCTCATAAAGAGACTTATTGTCTCCTTTCTAACCGAACTCTAACCGAATTACTTCAAATTCTCCAAACACATATAATGAAACATATAGAAGCATAAAACGGGGAAAACGGGACGGTAACTCCCGTAACGACGGGTCGGGTCGTTACACAACTCCAACATGACAATTTCGCTAATTACATGTAAATATTAATAAGATATTAAAATGATAGGCAGAAAATATAATTATTAGAATTTTGAGGTAAAAGCTATATGTACGAAATAATTCAGTGTCGTCCACATCAACCTTAGTTATCAATTGGTTATATGGCCGCAGAACAAACACATCCATTGGTAAAAGTGGATCACATGTTTCAGCAAAGGTTGTACTCTATGTAAATGTGAGGGCTAAATTATTTTTTTGGTTATGAACTTGTATGTTTTGTGACAAACGCTAAAGTTCGCTATAACACATAATGCAAACTCATTAAGTTCTATTTTGGAAAGATGCATATGAGACATGCCATATCTGATCTCGGAGTCCATCAAGCGTTGCAACACTTGTATTAATAGATATCTTCTGTTTGCAACTGAACATGTCATAATAACAACAATGTAGGTTTATTGGGAAAAAAGGAATGAAGACCAATGTTTTTCCGTTTCCTACTGATATGTGTTTCTATCCGTACTGCTGCAGATGAACAGTTCATGGAAGCTATAAATCGGCAATGACAGAGATACCAATGATGGTAACTTAGTGGTATACAGAAGTTATGGCATGAGCCACTTTAATAACAGCTAAAATGTAGCAAGATACATGAGCTCTAAATGGTTGCCAATGTATTGAAACAACAGAATGATTGTAGGTTTGTTCTATAATGTAGTGTTCCAGGAAAGCTTTGCTAACATTATATCATTGTAGTCTAGTCTTTTTTCTTCTTGTTTTATCTTAGGTCTATTTTTCATTTTCATTGTCACTGTTTGTACTCTGTTAGCTTCTCTTGTTGAAGCTCCTTTTGTAGTTTGGATGTTAAGTAAATTAAAATAAGTTGACGATTGCTGCAAAAAGTTGACTGGAATGCTAAAATTTAAGAGTTTAGTTTCAATAAAACCATACACCAAAGAGAAAACAGTAAAATTAAGCTTGGTGATTTCTTGGAATATTGTTAATCTTTAAAATTTTATATTGTTAACGTGATTAAATTTTATTATGTTAAGATCAAGTGTTACAAACCTCGGATTTGGTGATCGCTCCCACGTAGAAGGCGTGTGCCAACAAACGTGCTGGTCAATCAGGACGACAAACTCCTGCAAAGTGATTCACGTTATTGACTCTGCATAACTACATGAACGATTAGGAAGATAACACAGTTCCAGAAATACAAACGATTTACCTTGCAAATGTTGTGCTCTTACTCAACAGCATTGTCATGTAAGAGGTGATGAACTTTGACTTCAAATATACTCCAACAACTGAAGCGATACTTAAAACTCTGTATCTGTTGTTTAAAGTTCGGGCCTTTGATGAGGATGGTAAGTTAACAAAAGTGGGTGGAAAAATGGCTTACTTTCCTTTCGATGCCATGCTGTCCAAGATGATTGTTGACTGTGAAAAGTAGAAGTGCTCTGCGGAGACAATAACAATTGCTCCATTGCTTGTTGTGGGCAATTCACTGTTGTATCATCCAAAGGACTGACAACTCCAAGATGACAATTTCGCTAATTAAATGTAAATAATAATAAGATATTAAAATCAGAGGCAGAAAATAAAATTATTACAAATTTGAGCTAAAAGCTATATGTACCAAATAATTTAGTGTCGTCCACATCAACCTTAGTTATCAATTGGTTATATGGCCGCAGCTCAAAGACATCCATTGGTAAAAGTAGTCAGATGTGAGCGCTAAATTATAAGTAAATGTGAGCGCTAAATTATTTATTTTAGTTTCCAGATATAATACCAGTTCCTACAAAGGTAGCATTGTTGATTATATGTCTGTAATTCATCTTTCTTGCAATCAGTTAAGTGGTGAAATACCTAAGGAACTCAGTAATGTTACTGAGATTCGGGCACTAAACTTGTAACACAACCACATAGATGGAACAATAGTATAAGAATTATCAAATCTCCAAAATATAGACAGTTTGGACCTGTCATACAACCACTTGTTTGGAAGGATTCCTACACAACTTTTAGAGTTGACAACTCTAGCAGTGTTTAGTGTGGCACATAACAATTTAATAGGTAGGACTGCACAGAGTACAGCGCAGTTTGCAACTTTTAATGATAGCAGTTATGAGTGAAATTCTTTTCTTTATGGTCCTCCATTACACATCAAATGTATGCCGACTAAAGAGATACCAATATCAGCTCCTGCGCCAAATTGCTGCGAAGATGATACTGGTTTTCTTGATAAGGAGTAATTTTATATTTCCTTTCTTATGGCATATTCAAATGTAGTGGTCGCAGTGGTTGTAGCCCTTGTGTAAACCCGTATTTGAGTAGTGTTTGGTTTAATTTTGTTGAGTCTTTCAGTTATTCTTGTTACTACGTTGTTGCTACCAAAATGTAAACTGTACATATTAAGGTCATTGATAAGTTAATCATGACTGAGTTATGTTTCTATACATTCTACTTTCTTAGTACCAAGAAAATGATTATCGAGATGCTAGTATCTGTTTTCCTAACATATTCCAAATCAACATAACCATTTGTAAAATCATCAGTGGCATGAGCCACTTAAATAACAGCGAAAATGGAGCAAGATACATCTGCTGTAAATGGTTGCCAATGTGTTGAAACTACAAAATGATTTTAGGTGTGTTGTATAATGCCGTGTTCAAGGAAATCTTTGCTAACATTATATCATTGTAGTGTAGTCTTTTTTCTTCTTCTTTTGGCATAGGACTATTTTCCAGATTTTTTTAGTCCGTGCCAAACACACCGAAGTATACCAAAGATGACTTGGAGTAAAAAAATTAGAGACGCAAAAAAATTAGTAAGTAAAAGAAATAGACTTTTAATACCTTTTCATCTTGTAGAACCAATTCAATGAAGAAATTATTGTCTGAGTTGTAACAATCCAGGACTTCCCATAGACGAACAACACGAACTTTCAACTTGTATTGCATCCTCAAAGTTGTTATATCCTTAATGAAAAAAATGCGATTAGCCATCTTTTGCATAATCAGTAAGTTATCTTGAAATCAATTCACAACATTAGGAAGGATAGAATTGAAGTACCGTGTATTAGTAGAAGAAATATAACTGTCGAAGTTCTTTGTTAGTACATGTAAAAAGTAAGAAGTTAATAGTTAAAAGTAACTAAAAATAGTAACAACTAATGATGATGAAATAAAATATAACCATACCAATTGAAGCTGTTGAGAACAACAAATGTTGCGAAAAGGTAAAAGATATGCTTTCATTCTCCAAGTAAATTTCGGAAAACCTCTTTGTAAACCACATTTATTGCTTCATTTGAAATTTCTCCATCATCATCATAAACCAAAATCTTTAATCCCTTTCTATTTGTAACACGTGATAGAGCAACGTAAAGCTGGCCATGTGTGAAGACCGGTTTTTTCAAATATAAGCCAACATGAGATAAAGATTGTCCTTGACTTTTGTTTATCGTCATTGCAAAGGATACAACTATTGGAAATTGTCTTCGTTGGAACTTAAAAGGTATTCTTGCATCAGATGGAGTTAATGACATTCTCGGAATGAAGACCTTTTGTCCAACAATATTTTCCGATAATAGTTTTGCTTCGATAACCCGATTTCCGAGTCTAGTGATGATTAATCTTGTTCCATTACATAGACCTGAAGATGGGTCTATATTTCTCAATAACATCACTGGGACACCCACTTTCAAAGTAATAACATGATTTGGAATTCCAGAACACTTAATAGTGTTTAGGAATTCAGGTGTATGTACGTGTTCCAAACCTGTAAAAGCATCGTCTGACANAAAATATAGGTATCGGGCTCGTATTTTGGTTCCGACGCCCGGTACAGGTCTTAAATATGCGTTAAGCGCTTCCTGTGAAATTTGGTCGAAATCGGACGTCGTTTGACGTGTTTCGGACCTAAATAGCTAAAGTTGAAGGTTTATGAACTTTGAAATGGAAAATTATGAGTTTTGGGTGTTGATTCTTTGATTTTGATGTTCATTTAGCGATTTGATCGCTCGAGCAAGTTCGTAGGATGATATCGAGTTAGTGTGTGTGTTTGGTTGGGAGCCCCGAGGGCTCGGGAGTGTTTCGGAGGTGTTCCGGGAGGTTTTAAAACTTGAAAAGTTGCAGAAAAGTCTGCAACAGGTGCCAGTCATTTCCTTCTTCGCGATCGCACTCTCTCTCCCGCGTTCGCGAAGCATCAGAATTTCCTTCATCGCGTTCGCGTACAACATCTCGCGTTCGCGTAAGCCAAATTTGGGACCCCAGTATTTTCCTCTTCGCGTTCGCATTCCACTGTTCGCGAACGCGTAGCCTTGCAGCTTTCTTCAGCGCGTTCGCGTGGGCTTTCACGCGTTCGCGTAGAACAAATCCTGGACCCCCCAGTGTTTCTCCTTCGCGTTCGCATCCTCCCAATCGCGAACGCGTTGACCTGCCCATTTACCCTTCGTGAACGCGGCCCTCTTCCCGCGAACGCGAAGGGCAATTTTGCCCAGTTATATTTTTTTATTTCCAGAACAGTGTAGTTACGGGAATTTCATGAAAACACACGAGCTCCTTCTTCTCCAAGGTCTTTAGGCGTTCATTGAAGCTCCCTTTCACCAAAACTTCTTGGGTTAGTAAATCTTAACTCGTTTTCTTCATTTCCCATCAACATTTGTTGAATTCCTAAGCCTAAAACATATAATTTAGGGTAGAAATTGGGGGAAATGAGTAGAGTTAGGTTTTTGAAAATTTTGGGCGATTCAACCTCAATTTGGGGTCGGATCTTGAAACAAATTATATATTTGAACTCGTGGGGTTATGGGTGATTGGAATTTGGTCCGAGCCTCGAGTTTGGACCATGTGGGCCCGGTGTCGGATTTTGCTATTTTTGGAAGAATGGTAGGAAATTCATTTCTAGGCTATGGGATTATGTTGTTGAGCCTCATTTGATATTATTGAATTAATTATGATTAGATATCATTGTTTCGGAGTCGAATTCTAGAGGAAAGGCGGTGTTAGAGGCTTGATTGCTATTTTCGGACCGAGGTAAGTGTTTGATCTAACTTTGGCTTGAGGGAATAGGATTAGAGTATCATAAATGCTATTTGCTAATTGATCGAGTACGGTGTATAGGCGTGGTGACGAGTGTCTATACACTGGAGTCTAGCATGACCGTGGGTCTTTGTTTATTACTTGTTTTTGAGATAATTTGGAACTCTTCTATGCTACAACATGTATTTCTGCAAATGTGAAGAGTTTGAGGATAAGTTGTGAAATATTAATATTTTGGAGCATTGGCTCGAGTGTTAAATACCATTGAGTAGGAGATGAACGTATAGAAAAGAGGTGTGATTAATCCCTTGCCGGGATGGTTTGATTACAGTGAGTATTGCCCTTGCCGGGTTGTGAAAGATGTTGTTATTGTTCCCTTGCCGGGTCTTGGTTGTTATTTGTGTTGTTCCCTTGCCGGGATAGTTCATATTACTTGTTCATTTCTCTTGCCCGTTTGGTTGTGACTGTTATTTGGGTGAGGAAGAGTGAAATTGCACGAAGGGTCATTCCGTGCTATTCTTGATTACATTTGCACGAAGGGTCATTCCGTGCTATTCTTGATTACATTTGCACGAAGGGTCATTCCGTGCTATTCTTGATTATATTTGCACGAAGGGTCATTCCGTGCTATGTTTGACTATTTATGCAGGAAGGTACATTCCGTGCTCTGATTTGATTATATTTGCACGAAGGGTCATTCCGTGCCGTGAGATGAGAGCTATGTGAGGGAAAGCACGAAGGGTGATGCCGTGCATTTTATTTGATTGCTTTGGGTGAGATTTAGAGTAAAAGCACGAAGGGTGATGCCGTGCAACTATTGAATTTCTTATTCTTTGATAATTATTGTTGTGACATGTTTCTTAATTACGCTGATGAACTTTATATCCAAATTGTACTCTCCCCACAGCATGTTTCCCTCCCTTTTAACTGTTTAGTTTTGGTATTTTCTTTCCTTTTATTGCATATTTGTATATAAAAATTGTACAGGTTGGTTTGGTAGTCCTGTCTAGCCTCGTCACTACTTCGCCGGGGTTAGGCCAGGCACTTACCAGGACATGGGGTCGGTTGTGCTGATGCTACACTCTGTGCATTTCTTTGTGCACAGATCCAGGAGCATCTTTTGGATAGCAGCAGTAGGATTCTTATCCGGGAGCTATCTTCGGTCCAGGGACTCTCGAGGTAGCCTAGCTGGCATTCGCAGGCCGAAGTCCCTTTCCTTATTTCAGTTTGTTTTTATTGTACCGAAACAGACATGTGTATTTCTTTCATTCAGACTTGTAGTATTCTATAGTAGTCCGTGAGCTAGTGACACCAGATTTTGGGTAGGGATGTATTTCAAACTTCCGCATTTTTATATCCTTTTTGTTAAACTTAAGTCTTCCGCATTTCTTTAACTGTTGTTAGTATAATATATTGTTGAGGTTGAATAGCGAATGTTTAATGTATGGCTGGCCTAGCTCCGTTAGTAGGCGCCATCACGACGCCCGATGGTGGGAAAAATCCGGGTCGTGACAGCTTTGCTAACATTATATCATTGTAGTCTAGTCTTTTTTCTTCTTGTTTTATCTTAGGTCTATTTTTCATTTTCATTGTCACTGTTTGTACTCTGTTAGCTTCTCTTGTTGAAGCTCCTTTTATAGTTTGGATGTTAAGTAAATTAAAATAGGTTGACGATTGCTGCAAAAAAGTTGACTGGAATGCTAAAATTTAAGAGTTTAGTTTCAATAAAACCATACACCAAAGAGAAAACAGTAAAATTAATCTTGGTGATTTCTTGGAATATTGTTAATCTTTAAAATTTTATATTGTTAACGTGATTAAATTTTATTATGTTAAGATCAAGTGTTACAAACCTCGGACAGGAAGTGAGTGTTTGGTGGTCGCTCCCATGTAGAAGGCGTGTGCCAACAAACGTGCTGGTCAATCAGGACGACAAACTCCTGCAAAGTGATTCACGTTATAGACTCCGCATAACTACATGAACGATTAGGAAGATAACACAGTTCCAGAAATACAAACGATTTATCTTGCAAATGTTGTGCTCTTACTCAACAGCATTGTCATGTAAGAGTTGATGAACTTTGACTTCAAATATACTCCAACAATTGAAGCGATACTTAAAACTCTGTATTTGTTGTTTAAAGTTCGGGCCTTTGATGAGGATGGTAAGTTAACAAAAGTGGGTGGAAAAATGGCTTACTTTCCTTTCGATGCCATGCTGTCCAAGATGATTGTTGACTGTGAAAAGTAGAAGTGCTCTGCGGAGACAATAACAATTGCTCCATTGCTTGTTGTGGGTAATTCACTGTTGTATCATCCAAAGGACTGACAACTCCAAGATGACAATTTCGCTAATTAAATGTAAATAATAATAAGATATTAAAATCAGAGTCAGAAAATAAAATTATTACAAATTTGAGCTAAAAGCTATATGTACCAAATAATTTAGTGTCGTCCACATCAACCTTAGTTATCAATTGGTTATATGGCCGCAGCTCAAAGACATCCATTGGTAAAAGTAGTCAGATGTGAGCGCTAATTATAAGTAAATGTGAAATTCCTACGAAAGTAGCATTGTTGATTATATGTCTGAAATTAATCTTTCTTGCAATCAGTTAAGTGGTCAAATAGCTAAGGAACGCAGTAATGTTACTGAGATTCGGGCAGTAAACGTGTAACACAAACACATAGCTGGAACAATACTATAAGAATATCAAATGTCCAAAATATAGACATTTTGGACCTGTCATACAACCACTTGTTTGGAAGGATTCCTACACAACTTTTAGAGTTGACAACTCTAGCAGTGTTTAGTGTGGCACATAACAATTTAATAGGTAGGACTGCACAGAGTACAGTGCAGTTTGCAACTTTTAATGATAGCAGTTATGAGTGAAATCCTTTTCTTTATGGTCCTCCATTACACATCAAATGTATGCCGACTAAAGAGATACCAATATCAGCTCCTGCGCCAAATTGCTGCGAAGATGATACTGGTTTTCTTGATAAGGAGTAATTTTATATTTCCTTTCTTATGGCATATTCAAATGTAGTGGTCGTAGTGGTTGTAGTCCTTGTGTAAACCCGTATTTGAGTAGTGTTTGGTTTAATTTTGTTGAGTCTTTCAGTTATTCTTGTTACTACGTTGTTGCTACCAAAATGTAAACTGTACATATTAAGGTCATTGATAAGTTAATCATCACTGAGTTATGTTTCTATACATTCTACTTTCTTAGTACCAAGAAAATGATTATCGAGATGCTAGTATCTGCTTTCCTAACATATTCCAAATGAACATAATCATTTGAAAATCATCAGTGGCATGAGCCACTTAAATAACAGCGAAAATGGAGCAAGATACATCTGCTGTAAATGGTTGCCAATGTGTTGAAACTACAAAATAATTTTAGGTGTGTTGTATAATGCCGTGTTCAAGGAAATCTTTGCTAACATTATATCATTATGGTGTAGTCTTTTTTCTTCTTCTTTTTGCATAGGACTATTTTCCATATTTTTTTTGTCCGTGCCAAACACACCGAAGTATACCAAAGATGACTTGGAGTACAAAAATTAGAGACGCAAAAAAATTAGTAAGTAAAAGAAATAGACTTTTAATACCTTTTCATCTTGTAGAACCAATTCAATGAAGAAATTATTGTCTGAGTTGTAACAATCCAGGACTTCCCATAGACGAACAACACGAACTTTCAACTTGTATTGCATCCTCAAAGTTGTTATATCCTTAATGAAAAAAATGTGATTAGCCATCTTTTGCATAATCAGTAAGTTATCTTGAAATCAATTCACAACATTAGGAAGGATAGAATTGAAGTACCGTGTATTAGTAGAAGAAATATAACTGTCGAAGTTCTTTGTTAGTACATGTAAAAAGTAAGAAGTTAATAGTTAAAAGTAACTAAAAATAGTAACAACTAATGATGATGAAATAAAATATAACCATACCAATTGAAGCTGTTGAGAACAACAAATGTTGCGAAAAGGTAAAAGATATGCTTTCATTCTCCAAGTAAATTTCGGAAAACCTCTTTGTAAACCACATTTATTGCTTCATTTGAAATTTCTCCATCATCATCATAAACCAAAATCTTTAATCCCTTTCTATTTGTAACACGTGATAAAGCAACGTAAAGCTGGCCATGTGTGAAGACCGGTTTTTTCAAATATAAGCCAACATGAGATAAAGATTGTCCTTGGCTTTTGTTTATCGTCATTGCAAAGGATACAACTATTGGAAATTGTCTTCGTTGGAACTTAAAAGGTATTCTTGCATCAGATGGAGTTAATGACATTCTCGGAATGAAGACCTTTTGTCCAGCAATATTTTCCGATAATAGTTTTGCTTCGATAACCCGATTTCCGAGTCTAGTGATGATTAATCTTGTTCCATTACATAGACCTGAAGATGGGTCTATATTTCTTAATAATATCAGCGGGACACCCACTTTCAAAGTAATAACATGATTTGGAATTCCAGAACACTTAATAGTGTTTAGGAATTCAGGTGTATGTACGTGTTCCAAACCTGTAAAAGCATCGTCTGACATGCAAATTGTATCAGAACTCAAAAATATTTTTGGTTCACTTTGGTTTAGTGATACCATGTATTCATTGATTGATTCAACCATGTCAAGTGTGGGAGCAAGAATTCCTCTTTGTTGCAGGTATGTTATATCACTGCAATGAGTTAAAAAATCTGGATATGTACTTTCCACAATAGCTGAAATTGGATCGCCAGAATTATTTATGATAAGATCATCAGGGATGTGAACTTTATCAGTACCATCAACAGAATTTCCAATCATACCATCACCTATTGCTAAAATCCAATCAGAAAATTGTCTTAGATCATTCAAATGTGAATCCACCTGATTTCCTTCCAACCTCATATTTTGTGTTAGCTTTAAGACTTGACAGTGATGCCACAAATACGAAGAATTAAAGGCAGCGTTAACAATATCTTGTCTAGTACCTTTTGGAATGACTGGAAGTATTTGTCTAAAGTGTCCACCAAGAACAACCGTTTTCCCTCCAAATGGTCGATCTAAATTGGATGCATCTTTAAATCTAAGAATATCTCTTAGAGTTCTGTCTAGAGCTTCAAAACAATATCTATGCATCATTGGTGCTTCATCCCATATAATTAACTTTGTCTTGATAATCAATTTTGATAAAGGAGTACCTTGTTTGATATTACAGGTTGAATCTTCAGTTGCATTGAGTGGGATTGCAAATCTCGAATGAGCTGTTCGACCTCCTGGTAACAAAAGAGATGCTATTCCACTGGACGCAACTGTTAACACAATTTCTCCTCTACATCTTATGGCAGAAGACAAAGTTTTCCAAATAAACTTCTTCCCGGTTCCTCCATGACCATATAAGAAGAAGAATCCACCTTTGTCCTCATGCACTGCTTTGATAATTCTGTCATAAACTAACTTTTGCTCCATTGCCAATTTAACTAATAATTCTTCATGTTCCTTAGACAAAGAGCACCTACTGTAACGCAATTCTTCATAGATTAGTGTATTAGTGTTGTCAACTTCCTCTTCATTGAAAACCGGCGTTGGCATTGTTGGAAAATCGTATAACGTTTTGCCGCAACCTTTCAACAAATTTTCCACCTTTTGTAGGCAACGATTCTTTACTTCATCGTTTGTTAGCTCAGCCTCTAAAATAACAAAGTATATAATTAATTAATTGATAACAAAAATATATAGTTGTCATTAGTCATATAAAGATAAGACGAAAATAATTTTTTTAAGAAATAGTAAAAGGAAAATAAAGTTTCTTTACTTCATTGCAAGGCTACATCTAATATGTGTCCAACAAAAATATTAAAAATTAATCACTCAGAATTTGCAACCCTAAATGTCGATAGTACATTACAGTAAGATATAATTTGTATGTAAGAATCATGTAAAAATATTTTTATAAATTGTTAATATAAAATCTTAAGATGAAGGTAAAATTGTATACCTGGATTATCCAATATTCTTCTTTGTTCATGTAAGATATCATCTGATAATAAAATCCATGTTGCCTCCCAAACATATTCTGGCCGTGACATTGAATTGGATAATAGTAACATAGCAAATAATTGCCTAAGATATGATGCCATTCCCCAATGACTTGCCTCCTTTATGGCATCAACATACTCTTTGTCATCATCTAATAAACCCAGTGCATAACATGCATCTCTAAAAGTTAAATGTTCGTGATTGTTGATTTTGCGTAAATCCTCATAACTCTTAGGTCCTCTAATGACATTCAACAACATTCGAAGGTAATATTGCTCTCCACTTCCAGGCGGTACAAAGAATATTCTCCCTATTGAAAAAGCAGAATTTCTTCTTTTTTCCCATTTTTTAAGTTTTTTATTCCATACAAATTTAAGAGGAAATTCCGCATAGGTTAATTCTCTTGCTTCTTCATATGTATTGTTTGCCTCAAACCAGCTTAAAAACTTTGATTCCTTTACACTTGGTCTATTGGCAACACCATCAATTGGATCATCATCAGAGAAAATAACTGTTTGTTCATTTGGTAGATGAAAAGAAAGTCTTTCTACTGAAGGTTCTCTATGGTTAATTGGAAATTTAAAAATTCTCCAAGCAGCTTCACACGGTGATATGTATCGACAGTCATAATACATTTTTATTTCATCAATAGCCGATGATTCTTCCTCATGCACACTTTGAGAAAATGCTGCAGTTACACGATCATGCCCCTTATTAACGTACTTAAATAAGTACTTGATTGATCGAGATTGATTGCACCATTCAACATTTATATGTGCGCCGTACTTCAACAATAAATATCTATTGTGTGGCACCACGTACCTGTTATCCAAGTCAATACCTTCTTTGTTGATAGTTCTACCATTGTCCCTTCTTTTATAAACAGGATATCCATCTTCATCATTTGTGGTCTTTTGTACAAACTTCTTTGGAAAGTGTTTTGTACATCTACCATTACGCATGCAAGGAGACGATTTTCTAGCAGAACCACATGGTCCATGCATCATGAAATTCTTAACGGCCTTATAATAACATGGATCGACTGATTCGTCAGGTATTTCTGCTGAAATTCTTTGATCTATGTCTCCAACATTTGGATATTTATTATGAAGAAACAGCAATATGTGTGCATGTGGCAACCCACGCTTTTGAAATTCTACAGTATATATCACTGCAATAAATAATAATTTGTTATTGGGGTAAGTGGTTGTAATTTATATGTAAAACAAAATATTTTATTAAATCATATTATAAATGTAATAACAATTTATTAAAGAGATTAATTGTATACCTGATTTAACTGGTCCAAAAATTTGTTTCTCTTTCAAATCCTTTATTAAACGATCCAATTTGATTTTGAAGACCCTACATAAAATGTCTGGGCGATCTTCTGCTTGCAAGCCCTTGCTCTTTACAAATCTAATAATTTCAGGCCACTTTGGGTTGCAAGTAAATGTGATGAAAAGATTTGGATATCCAGCCCACTTGCAGATTGCCATAGCATCTTGATAATTTTGAATCATGTATCTTGCACCCCCTGTGAAGCTAGAAGAAAGAATTACCCTTTTACCTTGAGAAGAAGGATTTATCTCTCCATGTAAAATAGCATCTTCTAATCCTTTATACATATGAGCTCGCAATTGTTTTTGATGAGATCTGATATACTTCAACCTAGACGATTCAACCATTGTAAATCCATCGACCAAGAATTGTTGAAATAATCTTCTTGAGTTCACAATTGTTGCTATTTCGCCATTCCTTTCTTGAATTTTGTATGCAAAATATTTACGCATGCTAACAAAATTCCTTCCTCCAGTTGATTCATCTGTTCCATTTAAAGGAATGTCTTCCCTATAACCATCTTCATCAAATGGAAACAATAAAGGATACTGAAGACCTAAATAGGTAGCATTCAACTCATTTATCCTTTGTAGATGTCCAGATTGGGTTTCAACGATAATGTCTCTGTCACATCTAGATACATCAAAATCTCCAACTACCAAAGCAGCAACCTCTGAAATTGTTGGTAAGTTGTATCTTCTTCCATCTTAGTTCCTTTTCCTATCAATCTAAGTCTAAAATTGGATTGAGTATCTTCCTGAAATTTATCTCTGACCATTCTAAAAGACTTTGTCAAAACATTATGCTCATCAAGCATTTGTTTCAGATCTTGAACAATTTCAGCATGTAGTTGGCTTATTCTTTCACCACGACTGCATAAAAATAGGTTTTATAAATTTGATGTATGCTTTTTTTTAGATTATTCGTTCATATATAAATTAGGAAAAATTGAGTACTAACCCCAGTGCATGAATTCTATTCTCAACTTCGTTTTCTGTGTCATATATATATAATTGTGCAAACTTGGGAGTGGATCCTTCAAGGGGCAATAAACTCCCGATTTGATGATAGTTTTGTCCAGATAATTTGAATGTTCTTGTCCCCTTTGTTTGGTTGATAGAAGCATCAACTTTTCCTCCCATTGAGGTAAATGAAAACATTGAGTTATAACTTCTAATATTATCTCTGAAATGTTTACTTTTTGAACCTACATAAAATTATATGTTTGTCAATCAAGATTTATTCATATATTGAAGATAGTATTGAAGTATGGTGAAAGTCGATTTTGTTGTTACCTGATCCGAATAATAAGTTTTTTAAAATTGTGGGAGGTTTTTTTGGCTTTGGGAGACGTATCTTTCCATGATTACAACACAAAGAAAACTCTGGTTTTTAGCTTTGATTTTCTTGTTGATTCTTTCTTCGTACCAGAAGTAAGCACCACAATATTCACATTCATATGTAGGATTGCCTATATCCCAGTATTCTATGAAAAAAATAAGCAAATGTAAGATTAATAAAAAGGCGTAATGTTATGGTATACCTACTTATTGTATATACATATAAAAAAAATAAACATGCATACCTTTGATGCATTCCAAGTAGTCTATATTTATAAATGAGGATTAGAGTTAGAACTAAATATAAAAAGATAGATATGAGTGTAGGTAGAGGATTAAAATATATTAAACCGTGTTTTAAACTCGTCAGATTGAGGAAAAGTAGGATTAATCCACAACTTTGATGCATTTCAAGTATTGCGCATAGAATATGAATCTGCAAAACAAATTCTGTTTAACATGTAATGAATAACTTTCACAAATTAATGTAAAATTGAATAGTTACATTTTACCTTGAAATTTATGTGCTTTTATGAGCTGCTTAACAACAATAACAGGCTGATTGTTTGAACTTAAAAGGTGAGGTATAACTTGATCAACAAATTCGCCCCAGAATGTAGCAGATAACTTGTTCCTCCTGTCAAATAGAAATAGTGTATAATTTTTACCATATGTAATTATCAAATGTATCAGTATCCATTCATGTATGTTTATTCTTACTCATCATCTTCTAGTTCGATATCCATAAACTTCCTAGAAATTTCACCTTATTTTTGCGTGTGTACCTCACTGAAATTGACAATTTCTCCGATCACATCTGCTCAAAAATAAGATGTGCAAATAAGTAGCATAAATGTGTTAGCACAAAACAGAATAGTTGTAAAAATAAATTAAGTTAAAACTTATTATTACCAAATAATTCACTCTCGTTAACATCAACTTTATTTATCATTTCATGATATGGTCGCAGCTCAAAGATATTCATTGGGAAAAGTGGATCAGTTGTTTCAGCCACTGTTGTCCGTTGAGTAAACGTCAGCATCAATCTATGTTTTGTGCTGTTGAACCTCTCCTTGTTTTGGAAAACGATAAAGTTCGCCATATAATATAATCCAAGCTCATTAATTTGTGGTTTGAAAAGATGCAAAACTGACTTGCCAATAGAAGCATGTATACGATCACCCTAAAAAGAAATTACATTAAATAGCAGACATTACAAACTTTTATGTTAATGGTAATTTATATTAACTATGTGACGACCCAAAGGGTCATCACCGGTTTTCTCTCTTTCTCCGTGCTTCCGAGGCCTTGAAAACCTCACCTTTAGTTGCCTCGATTTGCGTGCGCAGTCCGGGCGCGTACCTGGAAAGATTATATGTTAAATTCTGTGAAAAATTTCAAAATGTGGCTTTAAAATGATTAAAGTTGACTTCAGTCAACATTTTTGGTAAACGGACCCGGACCCGTGATTTGACGAAGGGTGATGCCGTGCATTCTATTTGATGGTTTTTGGTGAGAATGAGAGTAAAAACATGAAGGTTGATGTCGTGCAACTGTTGATTCTCCTGTTTTCTTTTGTTAGTTATTGTTATTGCCCTGTTTCTTACTTAAGTTGATGACTTTATATCCGGATTGTACTCCCCCATAGCATGCTTCCCTCCCTTGTTAACTGTTTAATTTCGGTGTTCCTTCCTTTATTGCATATATATATATATATATATATATATATTGAACTGCACAGGTTGATTTGGTAGTCCTGTCTAGCCTCGTCACTACTTCGCCGGTGTTAGGCCAGGCACTTACCAGCGCATGGGGTCGGTTGTGCTGATGCTACACTTTTGTGCTCTTTTGCACAGATCACGGTACCGGAGCAGCTCTTGGACCACAGCAGTAGTTGATCGGGAGCCCTCTTCAGTCCAGGGACTTACGAGGTAGCCTAGCTGGCGTTCGCAGGCCGGAGTCCCTTTTTATGTTTCAGTTTGTTTTCATTGTATCGAGACAGACATTTATGTATTTCTATTCAGACTTGTTTGTAGCGCTCTTTAGTAGTTCGTGAGATAGCGACTCCAGTCTTGGGTAGTGAAATATTAGACTTCCTCATTTTGGGTTTTCAGTTATTTATGTTTTAAAAGACTTCCGCATTTATTTAAAGACTCGTTATTTTATTATTGTTATGTTGTTATCCGAAAATGTTTAGATGTTTGGCTTGCCTAGCTCCAACAGTAGGCGCCATCACGACTCCCGACGGTGGGAAATCCGGGTCGTGACAAGTTGGTATCAGAGCTCTAGGTTACATAGGTCTCGCTACTCACGGACGAACTTGGTAGAGTCTGAGGGATCAGTACGGAGACGTCTGTATTTATCCCCCAGAGGCTACGGAGTTAGGAAAAACTTCAATTTTGTTCTTTCTTGTCGTGCGATTCTATTTCTCAAATACTGATTGTCGTTCTACTCTGTTCTTTCGCAGATGGCGAGAACACGTGCTTCCTCTTCTACCGCGCAGCAGCCCGAGCCCCCAGCAGCAGCTCCTGCGAGGGGCAGAGGCCGAGGCCGTGCCAGAGGCCGAGGCCGGGGCAGAGCTCAGCCCCGAGCAGCAGTCCCAGAGGTGGGGCCTCATGTTGATTATGATGAGCAGGTTCCAGCCCCAGCAGCTCCGGTGGGCCCAGCTCAGGTCCCAGAGGGGTTCATAGCCACCCCAGTTCGTCAGGACGCTCTGGTCAGATTGGTAGGCTTTGTGGAGAGCGTCACTAGAGCGGGTTTGCTTCCAGTAGCACCAGCCACTTCTCAGGCTGGAGGAGGAGTTCAGACTCCTGCTACGCGTACTCCAGAGCAGGTAGCTCCCTAGGCACAGGTTCCAGTGGTTCAGCCAGCTGTGGCAGTTCAGCTGGGTATTGTGACTCAGACCGGCGATGGAGCGGCTATGTCCTCAGATGCTTTATGGAGGCTTGATAGGTTCTCCAAGCTCTTCACCACCACATTCAGCGGTGCTTCATCAGAGGATCCCCAGGATTTCTTATTCAGCTGCCATGAGATCCTTCGGACTATGGGTATTGTGGAGACCAATGAGGTCGACTTCGCCACCTTTCGGCTTGCAGGATCCGCCAAGACTTGGTGGAGGGACTATTGCCTATCTAGACCAGCAGGGTCTCCAGCATTGACAGTTCGCGGAGTTGTTTTTGGAGAAGTTTCTCCCAGTCACTCAGCGGGAGGCACTTCGCAGGCAGTTCGAGCGCCTCCAGCAGGGCTCCATGACAGTCGCACAGTATGAGACACGGTTCATTGATTTGGCACGCCATGCTATTGTTATACTCCCCACAGAGCGAGAGAGGGTGCGGAGGTTTATTGATGGATTGATTCAGCCGATCCGTCTCCAGATGGCTATGGGAGCTGGTAGTGAGATTTCTTTTCAGGAGGCGGCCAATGCGGCCCGTAGAGTGGAGATGGCTCTTGCACGAGGAGGTGGTCAGGTGTCGGATAAGAGGCATCGTCATTCTGGTAGGTTCAGTGGTACCTCGTCTGGAGGTAGGGATTCTTACGGTAGAGGCCATCCACCGAGACCCTTTCAGTCAGCACTCCAGGTTTCTCATGGTACTCCAGGCGGTGGTGGTTCTCAGCAGCATTATTCTGATCAGCAGCCCATCAGTGCACCGCCACTTCAGAGTTTCCGGGGAGGACATACAGGTCGTTAGGGCCAGCAGTCTCAGCAGCCGAGGGCTTGTTATGGTTGTGGTGACCCGAGTTACATTGTCAGATTTTGCCCTCGAGCCTCGGGTAGTTCTCAGCAGCAGGGTCCTCGCCCCATGATTCAGGCACCAGGTGATCCACAGCTTGCCCAGCCAGCTAGAGGCGGGGGTAGGGATCATAGAGGTGGAGGTAGAGACCGTAGAGGTGGAGCTTGGACCGGCAGAGGTAGGGGTCAGCCAGTAGCCGATCGTCCCAGAGACATGGTTCAGGGAGGTGGGGCCCAGCCCCGGTGTTATGCTTTGCCAGCCAGGCCAGAGGCTGAGTCTTCAGATGCTGTTATTACAGGTACTATTCTGGTCTGTGATAGGGATGCTTCAGTGCTATTTGACCCTGGGTCTACGTATTCATATGTGTCATCCTATTTTGCACCCTACCTGGCTATGCCTAGTGATGCTTTGGGTATTCCTGTTTATGTATCTACACCGGTGGGTGATTCTATAGTGGTCGACCGAGTTCATCGTTCCTGTGTGGTAGTATTTGAGGGTCTTGAGACCCGTGTTGATTTATTGCTCTTAGACATGGTGGATTTCGATGTTATATTAGGGATGGATTGGTTGTCCCCGTATCATGCTATCTTGGATTGTCACGCCAAGACCGTGACCTTGGCTTTGCCGGATTTGCCCCGATTGGAGTGGAGAGGGACCTGAGGTCATGCCACTCGCAGTGTTATCTCATATGTGAAGGCTCGACGCATGGTCGCGAAGGGGTGTTTAGCTTATCTGGCGTATGTTCGCGATTCCAGCACAGAGGTCCCTTCTATTGATTCTGTTCCTATTGTTCGGGAGTTCCCCGAGGTTTTCCCTTCAGACCTGCCGGGTATGCCGCCCGACAGGGATATTGATTTTTGTATTGACCTGGCTCCGTGCACTCAGCCCATTTCTATTTCGGCGTATCGCATGGCCCCGCCAGAGTTGAAGGAGTTAAAGGACCAGTTGCAAGATTTGCTAGGGAAGGGTTTCATCAGGCCTAGTGTTTCTCCTTGGGGTGCGCCGGTGTTATTTGTGAAGAAAAAGGATGGATCGATGAGGATGCGCATTGATTACCGGCAATTGAACAAAGTGACGATAAAGAACAAGTATCCACTGCCGAGGATTGATGATTTGTTTGACCAGCTTCAGGGTGCGAAGGTGTTTTCAAAGATAGACTTGAGATCTGGCTACCATCAGCTGAGAATTAGGGCGTCTGATGTCCCTAAGACAGCATTCCGCACTCGGTGCGGGCATGATGAGTTTTTGGTCATGTCATTTGGGTTGACCAATGCCCCAACAGCATTTATGGAGTTGATGAACCGAGTGTTCAGACCTTACTTGGACCTGTTCGTGATAGTCTTTCTTGATGATATTCTGGTGTACTCCCGCAGCCAGGAGGAGCACGAGCAGCACCTCAGAGTGGTTCTTCAGACTCTGAAGGACAGTCAGTTATATGCTAAGTTCTCGAAGTGCGAGTTCTGGTTGAGTTCGGTTGCATTTCTGGGTCACGTCGTATCAGCAGAGGGTATTCAGGTGGACCCGAAGAAGATTGAGGCAGTCAAGAACTGGCCTCGACCAGCATCAGCGACTGAGATTCAGAGTTTCTTGGGGTTACCAAGTTATTACCGCCGGTTCATGGAGGGGTTTTCATCCATAGCAGCCCCGATGACCAGATTGACCCAGAAGGGTGCCCAGTTCAGATGGTCAGATGAGTGCGAGGCGAGCTTTCAGAAGCTCAAGACAGCTCTGACTACGGCACCGATATTGGTTTTGCCCACAAGCTCAAGGCCTTATACAGTTTATTGTGATGCTTCCCGTATTGGGCTTGGTGCAGTATTGATGCAGGATGGCATAGTCATTGCTTATGCTTCGAGGCAGTTGAAGATCCACGAGAAGAATTATCCGGTTCATGATTTAGAGTTGGCAGCCATTGTTCATGCTTTGAAGATTTGGAGGCATTATCTATATGGTGTGACGTGTGAGGTGTACACTGATCACAAGAGTCTTCAGTACTTGTTCAAGCAGAAGGAGTTGAACTTGAGGCAGAGGAGGTGGTTGGAGCTATTGAAGGATTATGATGTTACTATTTTGTACCACCCGGGGAGAGCCAATGTGGTGGCCGATGCATTGAGTAGGAAGTCCGCCAGCATGGGTAGTCTTGCTTATATTCCGGTCAGCCAGAGACCACTTGCTTTGGATATTCAGGCCTTGGCCAATCGATTTGTGAGGTTGGACATTTCTGAGCCTAGCAGAGTGTTAGCTTGCACGGTCGCTCGTTCTTCATTATTGGAGCGTATCCGTGATCGGCAGTTTGATGATCCCCATTTGTGTGTCCTGAGAGACACGGTGCAGCGTGGAGGTGCCACGAAGGTGACCTTAGATGATGATGGTGTTTTGAGATTGCAGGGGCGAGTTTGTGTGCCCAATGTCGATGGGATTCGAGAGTTGATCTTAGCGGAGGCCCATAGTTCTCGGTATTCTATTCACCCGGGCGCCGCGAAGATGTATCAGGACTTGCGGCAGCATTATTGGTGGCGTAGGATGAAGAAAGACATTGTTGCATATGTGGCTCGATGTTTGAACTGTCAGCAGGTTAAGTATGAGCATCAGAGGCCTGGTGGTTTGTTTCAGAGGATTGAGCTTCCCGAGTGGAAGTGGGAGAGGATTACCATGGATTTCGTTACTGGACTTCCGATGACTCGGAAGAAGTTTGACTCGATAGGGGTCATTGTTGATAGGCTGACCAAGTCAGCGCATTTTATTCCTGTTGCAGCCACTTATTCATCGGAGAGGTTAGCTGAGATCTACATCCGAGAGATTGTTCGCCTTCATGGTGTGCCGGCATCTATCATTTCGGATCGGGGTACGCAGTTTACCTCGCGCTTCTGGAGAGCAGTTCAGCAGGAGTTGGGCACCCAGGTTCAGTTGAGCACAACATTCCATCCTCAGACGGACGGCCAGTCCGAGAGGACTATTCAGATATTGGAGGATATGCTCCGAGCCTGTGTCATTGATTTTGGAGGCTCGTGGGACCAGTTTTTGCCTTTAGCAGAGTTCGCCTACAACAACAGCTACCACTCCAGCATTCAGATGGCTCCATATGAGGCGTTGTATGGTAGGCGATGTCGGTCTCTAGTCGGATGGTTTGAGCCGGGAGAGGCTCGGTTATTGGGTACAGATTTAGTTCAGGAGGCATTGGATAAGGTCAAGATCATTCAGGACAGGCTTCGTTCGGCTCAGTCGCGGCAAAAGAGTTATGCGGATCATAAAGTTCGAGATGTAGCTTTCATGGTTGGTGAGCGGGTCTTGCTCCGAGTGTCGCCTATGAAGGGCGTGATGAGATTTGGGAAGAAGGGCAAGCTTAGCCCTAGGTTCATTGGCCCATTTGAGATTCTCGATCGTGTGGGAGAGGTGGCTTTCAGACTTGCCTTGCCGCCCAGCTTGTCAGCCGTGCATCCAGTGTTTCATGTGTCCATGCTTCGGAGGTATCACGGCGATCCAGACCACGTGTTAGATTTCAGCACTGTCCAGTTGGACAAGTATCTGTCCTACGAGGAGGAGCCGGTAGCTATTCTAGACCGGCAGGTTCGATAGTTGAGATCGAAGAGTTTTCCTACAGTGCGTGTCCAGTGGAGAGGTCAGCCTCCTGAGGCATCGACCTGGGAGTCCGAGTCTGATATGCGGAGCCGTTATCCTCATCTATTTTCCGACTCAGGTACTTCTTTCTTTTGTCCGTTCGAGGACGAACGATTGTTTTAGAGGTGGAGAATGTGACGACCCAAAGGGTCATCACCGGATTTCTCTCTTTTTCCGTGCTTCCAAGGCCTTGAAAATCTCACCTTTTGTTGCCTCGATTTGCGTGCGCAGTACGAGCGCGTACCCGGAAAGATTATATGTTAAATTCTGTGAAAAATTTCAAAATGTGGCTTTAAAATGATTAAAGTTGACTTCGATCAACATTTTTGGTAAACGGACCCGGACCCGGACCCGTGATTCGACGGTCCCGGAGGGTCCGTAGAAAAATATGGGACTCGGGCATGTGCCCGGAGTCGAAATCCGAGGTCTAGAACCCGAGTAAAAGAGTTTTTCTGTGAAATTGTTTTTCTGAAATTATTAAGGAAAATGGAAATAAAAATTGATTAAAAGACTATGGTATCGGGCTCGTATTTTGGTTCCGATGCCCGGTACAAGTCTTACATATGTGTTAAGCGCTTTCTGTAAAGTTTGGTCGAAAACGGACGTCATTTGGCGTGTTTCGGACCTAAACATCTAAAGTTTGAAGTTTGTGAAGTTAGAATGAAAAATGATGATTTTGAGGTTTGATTCATTGATTTTGATGTTGTTTTGGCGATTTGATCGCTCGAGTAAGTTCGTAGGATGTTGTTGAGTTAGTGTGTGTGATTGGTTGGGAGTCCCGAGGGCTCAGGAGTGTTTTCGGAGGTGTTCGGGGTATTTTTGAACTTAGAAAAAGTAGCAGATGTCCTGTAATTTTTGCACAGTGCTTTCCTTCTTCGCGATCGCGTCTTTCAGCTCGCGTTCGCACAGCCTTAGCCTTCCCTTCATCGTGTTCGCGTTACCCCATACGTGATCGCGTAAGCCAACTCAGGACCCCCAGTAATTCCTTCATCGCGTTCGCGGACAAGTCCTCGCGTTCGTGTAGTAACAGCCTCTTCTTCATCGCGTTCGCGTACCCCATCTCGCGTTCGCATAGTACAAGTCCTGGACCCAGCCTTTCCCCTTCTACGCGTTCGCGATAAGTCTTCCGCGAACGCGATGTTCCCAGTCTTCTTTCTTCGCGAACGCGAAGGTCAAAAACGCCCAGTGATTTTGTTAAAATTACAGAAACGGTAGCTTCGGGATTTTCCTCATTTTTCCACACGAACTCTTCTCCCTAACACCCCATAGACGATTTTGAAGAGCCTTTTCCTCCATAGCTTCTTAGGTAAGTGTTCTTAACTTCATTCTCTCTTAATTTCTTCATCTAATCACTAATTTTCTGGTCCTAAATCATGAATTCAAAGTAGAAATTAAGGGTTTTGGGTAGAGTTAGGGTTTTGGGTGATTCAACCCCAATTTGGGGTCGAATCTTAACACAAATTATATATTTGAACTCGTGGGGTTATGGGTGACTAGTTTTTGGTCCGAGCCTCGTGTTTGGACCATGTGGGTCCGGTGTCGATTTTTGGTATTTTTGGAAGAATGCTAGAAAACTCATTTCTAGGCTATGGGATTATGTTGTTGAGCCCTAATTGATATTATTGAATTAATTATGCCTAGATACCATTGTTTCGAAGTCAGATTTTTGTGACAACCCAAAGGGTCATCACCTGTTTCCTCATTCGTTCTGTGCTTCCGAGGCCTTAGAAACCTCACTTTTGGTTGCCTCGATTTGCGTGTGCACTCCGGGCGCGAAGCCGGAAAATTTTTATGTTAAAATATATGAATCCTGTGAAAAATTTGGTGAATTATGATATTAATATTGATATAGTTGACTTTGGTCAACATTTTGGGTAAACGGACCCGGACCCGTGATGTGACGGTCCCGGGAGGTTCGTAGAAAAATATGGGACTCGGGCATATGCCCGGAGTCGAAATCCGAGGTCCAGAACCCCGGTAAAAGAATTTTTCTGATAAATTATTTTCTGAAATTAATAAGGAAAAATGGAAATGAAAATGAGTTAGAAAATATAGGTATCGGGCTCGTATTTTGGTTCTGACGCCCGGTACAGGTCTTAAATATGCGCTAAGCGCTTCCTGTGTAATTTGGCCGAAATCGGACGTCGTTTGACGTGTTTCGAACCTAAATAGCTAAAGTGGAAGGTTTATGAACTTTGAAATGAAAATTATGAGTTTTGGGGGTTGATTCTTTGATTTTGATGTTATTTTAGCGATTTGATCGCTCGAGCAAGTTCGTAGGATGATATTGAGTTAGTGTGTGTGTCTGGTTGGGAGCCCCGAGGGCTCGGGAGTGTTTCGGAGGTGGTTCGGGGTGTTTTACACTTAGGAAAGTTAGCAGATTTTCTGCAATTTTTGCTCAGGCATTTTCTTCTTCGCGATCGTGGCCTTAGGCTCGCGTTCGCACTGCTCATGGTGTTCCCCTTCTACGCGTTCTCATCTCCATAAGCGCGATCGCGTAAGTCAAGTTCAGGACCCAGAGACTTCCTCTTCGCGTTCGCAGTCAGATGTTCGCGAACGCATAGACTTGCTGCTCCCTCCATCGCGTTCGCGAGGCCTTTTACGCGTTCGCATAGAACAAACCTGGACCCCCCCAGCATTTTCTTCTACGCGTTCGCCTTCCCCTTCACGCGAACGCGATGCCTGCCCATTTTCCTTCATCGCGAACGCGACCGGGGTGTCGCGAACGCGATGAACAATTTTGCCCAGTTATTTTAAAAGCCTAAATCAGTAGCCATTACGGGATTTTGCCATCTTCTTCACACGAACCTCTCTCTCAAATCCTCCGTAGACGAAATTCAAGTTCCCTTTCCTCCACAACT